CCAAATACCATCAAATTGAACATCTCGATATCAAGATATATAGACAAAAAAAATGGATTTCAAGTTTTGAAAATAGGGTATTTTGTAACACATTTTTTTACCGTCAATTTTCAAGATTTTCAAATTTTCATAGATATATCGATCTACACTATTTTTGAAGCTTTAAACTTTAGAAATAAAAATGAAAATATATTTTAAAGCTATCACAAAGATTTCCAGTATTGAAACCACATTTCTCGATACTATTTGAAGGTAGGCTCTAATTTGATTATTTAGAGCCTAGGCTCTATACAAACCGCACCTAAAATAAAATGTTAGGTGTCAGAGTATGTCACCCCTATCTACCCTTATATCATAGAAGTAAGGCTTACCCCTTGTAGTTTCGTTGTTGAAAATCTTATGATGGCTTGAAAATCTATTTTCATCCTTAGTCATGAGATTTAAAGTATAAAAAATGTTAGAAATCGAACATATCTATAAGCACTTGAAAAATCTTTGAAATAGAAGGTCCAAATGATTTCCAAAATTGATACTTTTTTTTATATGTTTCTATATATCTTGAGGTGAGATGATCAGATTGGAGGTTTTTCCAATGCCAGAACATTTTCTTTTAGAGGATTTTTGAGGTGTACCTTACTTCAATAGCATAAAGTTGACACCTTATATAAATCTTTGGGAAAATATCTCCTTATCTTCTATTTTTGACTTCTATATCTCATGAGACCTAATGATTTAAAATATTACTTGTAAGCAAAATATCTCTATCTTTTCTATCTTACAACCTCTTGAACCCCTTTGACCATGAAATTTTGACCCAAAAAAACATTAAAATGACACCCTCTCTAAAATTTTCTTTTCCGTTGACGTCAATCTCTTGAAGCACCCTCTCTCTTTTTCTTTCAAATCACCATCACTCTCTCAAAACTCCATATCTCTCTCTCTAAAATCTAAAGTTACAGAGAAGTTTCCCTCTCTACATCGTCTCTCTCTCCACTCTCTCTCTCTCTCTAAAAATTATCTAGCCCATTTTGCACCCCAATAAATTCTCTAAAAATACCCATTGATCTGAAGCCTTATTTTCCCCATTCAGTCGCTCTTCATTTCCAGCTACCAAAGCTCTTTCTCGCCTACCTTGGTGACTGGAAACAAAGAGCGGCTGAGCGGAAAACATAGGGCTTCATATCAATGGGTATTTTTAGAGAGTTTATAGTATATTGGGGTGCAAAAAGGGCTCGATAATTTTTATAGAGAGAGAGGAGAGAGAGATGATGTAGAGAGGGGAATTTCTCTGTAACTTTGGGTATTAGAGAGAGAGAGTTTTGAGATAGAGAGATGGTGATTTGAGAGATTAACGTTAATAGAAAAGAAAAAATTTAGAGAGGGTGTCATTTTAATATTTATTTGGGTAAAAATTTCATGATCAAAGAAGCCCAAGGGGTTGTAAGATAGAAAAAATAGAGACCTTTTGCTTACAAGTAATATTTTCAATCATTGGGTCTCATGAGATATAGAAGTAAAAAATAAGGGATAATGAGATATTTTCCCTAAATCTTTTGCCTTTTGTGAACGAGAGAGAGAGAGAGTATTTGGGCCGGCCGTATTGAGTTTGAGAGTTTGAGAATCGTATTATTCCTATATATATATATATATATATATATATAACGAACGTCGTAGTAAGTACTTACTTAGAACAGTACGAAATCGATAGAAGATAGAA